ACCGAGGGAGACTCCCCAAGGGTAAAATAGTCTCGTCTGAAATCGCGTGGCAGCCCCCTCCCAAGAAGTCCAAGTCTTCCTGGACTTTCTGGCCGCCGAGAAGAAAGCGGGAGGGGGCTTTGCAAATTCAAATGCTCGGGGCAGGGCTGGGACGGATCTGACCGGTCCCAGGGGGTGAATTAGAGTCAGGCGGGGTTGATCCCCCCGCCCCGCAGATCGTATTCCGCCGGGCGGGGGTCCTGGGCATGAGTTGCGGGGCTGGATTGAGAAGGGTCTTGCCCTTCGGGCCTGGATCTGGGTTACCGGGGGGGGGGGTCGAGATCGGGAAGGAGGGAGGGCGCGGGGACGAGGTCCCCGAGGTGCGGGAGCAGATCTCCCGTGGAGAGGAGCCGCTCCGGCCGCGGCCGCGGCGCACCCGCCCGGCGCTGCGCAGTTTCACCTCCCGGATCTCATCCCCCTGCAGGCGGCACCAGGGGCCGGGGGGTGGGGGGGTCGTCTAGACGAGAGTCATTCCCTTATCTGAGGCGAAAGAAAATAAAGCTTCTCGTGGGAGACAAAGCGGGGGGATTTCACAAGCGCCACTGCCTCCCCGCCTGCAGCCCTGATCCGGATCGGTAGCTGGGCCCTGTGTGTCCCGTCCCCCCTGGTTTGATTGCCAGCTCTTGTGCTGGCAGCATGCATAGGCCACAAGGGAGGGTCTGGGCCCTGGGAGCCCTCGCCCATCTCGGAGACCCCCCACCTCGGCCCCCAAGAAACCTCCCCCGCCCTTCGCTCCTATCTCCAGTCACCAGACAGATCCTCGCCCCGCAAGGGAGATGGAGGCATATGGGGATTTTTCCGCTTGGGCACAGTTTCGGCTTGGGTTGCAAGGCTGAGTGGTTCCCACGGAGGCAAGGCTTGCCCAGGCAGCCCCGTGGGCTGGGATCTGCGCTGTGGCCCCATCACACCATCGCCCGTGTCCCAGCTCCCACTGCAGCACGGGAATCCCCCTCCCTCCAGGCTGAGGCAGGAGTTATCCCCAGATTAAGCGTGCCAGAGATTGGATTAACCCCACGTCGCATCCTGTCGCTGCCAGCTCTCTGGAGCTGCCTCTACAGAAGCCAGAGACTGGGTTTTTCCCCTCTCATCCAAAACGGGGGCGATCCCGTCCCCTCCACCAGCGCCTTTCCCTGGGCACTGTTCCCCCGCAGAGGCCATGCCTGCCAGGAATCGCCCAGGGTCTCCCCTTTCTTTTACAGAGAGCGCCTCGTGTTCCTGTGCCCAGTGGTTTTCTGCTTAGAAATTGTTTTAAAGGCACTTGAGGAACATTTCCCAGGGAATTTGACGCGGATCCCTAGCCAGGTTATTTTTATCTTCCTGGTTTGTATGTACTGGGGGAGCGGGGGGGAGTCTTGGGTGCATCAACCCAAACACAGGCAGTGGAAACCCAACCCAAACCAAACACAGGCGCTCAGGAAAGGGAGCTGGAGAGCATTTCTGTTGCTCTTTTGTAGCGGTAGAAAGAAACTGCTACTTGCAAGGACTCGATCCTGCAGTTTTAACATTTTCCCGAAGTGCCGAGAGAGAGAGAGAGAGAGAGAGAGAGAGAGAGAGTCCTATTCGAGGTCAATTGAGCCCAGACAACTGCACGACCAAACAAGGATCCCCTCCTTTGAGGCTCGCCCCTTGCCGAGCACAATTTTAGGGCGAATTTTGATCTTAAACACCTGTAGGACCCGAATAATGTTTCAGCCGGGGCAGAAAGGTGCACTGCAGCGAGACGCTTGGAGAAGACATCTCTCCAATGACACTATTATAGATCAATATAATGTGCACTGCGTGATATAGGTGCCAGGTCATATTTTAGTGGAGGCGGTGGAAGCGCTTCCGTTCACCTCTGCATTGGGAAGTTATATTCACTGTACCTGTACCTAATACAGATGATGTATTAGGAGTTCTGCAAAATGGGACTGTGGCAACCCTGATCAAACTGGGGACCACATAACAACACTCTGCCCTCTATACAAGTTTGCGGGTGACTTGGCAGAGATGCATTCCCTTTCCTCAAGAGCATTTAGACTGGTTAAGGCAGCCCTTGGAGATGTGAGAACAACTGCATAGTCTCCCTGTGCCTGAAGAAGGGTGTTTGTGCCCGAAAGCTTGCAAAGAATTTGGTTCCAGCTACTCAGTTGGTCTAATAAAAGAGATCCCATCTGCCCAAAGAAGCTTGCCTGCCTATGTCCTTCGACCAACACGGCTGCAACCAGCAACCCCCCTTAACTAACCTTAAACTGGATTTCTAATTGTTGCTTCAAGTCAAGCAAACGAAAAGACAGAGATTCGGTATAACTGAGGCTATATCATTCACTACGACTTTGTGCATTTTTGAGCCAGCAGATTTCAAGGATGATTTTCATTCAAAGGGATGCCAATAGCCGAGAGTTTGGGGCGACTGTTGACAATACAACCTAATCACTGGGGCGCTGCTTTCCTACATGTCTGTAACTCAGCTCCTTTAACGAAAGCCTGAGGGCTATTGAGCTGACATGATCCTGGGGTTTGTCTTTGCCTTGCTTTTCCCCTCATCGCCAGAACTCATCCTGGCGGAGTTAATTCATCCGGATTATTTGAAAAGTACCTGGCCCTGATCCTCTGGTCCTTGACTCCACTGGGGGTTTTATTCGGGGAAGCAACCCGACAGGATCGCGTGTGGCTCCAGGTCTCCAGCTGGGCTGATGGAGCTGAGTTGTGCTGCCTAACCCGGACTGGAGCAGAGGAGACCTGTAGCCTGTGTGAATGGGCCTCGCCGATCTCAGCCTTTCCAGAAACAGGCATGGAAAGGGACAAAGTCGCTGCCACGCGCAATGAAGCTGGCGATCGCAGCAAGATCGTTTGGTTCCCCTCGTCTCAGCTGTATGACGAGGTGTGCTGGGGCATAAGAGAGGACTAAGGGCTTGATGTACACAAGGGGACTTCAAGGCACCCTCGGGGAGGGGCGATCGCAGCTCCTCCACTCCCCAAACAGCAGGGTCCTCACTCAGGAACCACTGATCTGAAGCCCGGAGCCTCCATCAGAGAGGGCAGGCGGTTGTGGCCGCTCAGGATACCCACGTGAAAGCCCGTGGATATGGGACTGGAAGGGGAGCTGTGTTTCCTAGGCCATGTAGAGCAAGGCTCTTCTTGGGGGGGATCCACTCCGCATACCCTAGAGACCTGCACTCCTGCATAATCCCCACTTCCACACGCGCACAGACAGGGGCGGGTCCAGGGGGGTGCACTGGGGCACTTGCCCCCCCACCCTTGATTCTTGCTCCACCCATAATGTAAAGCCCGGCTGTGGCAGCAGCATTTCCCTGCAGGCAGTGTTAAGGGAGTCACTTGACGTGCCAGGTTGCAGCCAGGGACGTTTCGGTTCTCAGGAGAAGGGCAGTAAAGCCCCGGACCAGGGTACCTACACAGGTGGTGGAGTCTCCCTCCATAGAGGTGCGGAAGCCCTAGGTAGACAACGCCTTGGCTGGGATGAGCTCGTGGGGAAGATCCTGCTTTGAGCAGGGGGCTGGACTAGATGACCCATGAGGTCCTTGGCAGCCCAAAGTTGCGATGATGAGATGATGCCATGATTTCCTGGCTCCTCATCCCTTCCAAAGTCTTCATTCCCCCCGAGTGTGAATGATCCTCTCTCCTTTTCCCTGGCCTTGATGTTCCCCAGCATCAAAGGAGCCTTTCTTCTGCTGTCTGTTCCTTGCTGCTGGTAACGAAGCTCCTATTTGACAGATCGTTTTTAATTCATTCCAATAAAATTATCAGCGCGGGGCGCGGGGGGGGTCTTTGCTTTTGCTTCCGTCTTAAACTGAATAAGCCAGCCCTCGGCCCCTGGCCAGTAACAGCTTCTCGTTTCTTTTTAACGGGGGCAAAAATACGCTGCTTCATGCGTGCATTTCACCGTCTGCACCCGCCCCCTTTTCAATGCCGGGCTAAGCCTGACCTCCAGGTCCAGATCTAGGCGCCTGGAGGAATCCAGACTCGGGGAAGAGCTGATACCTTGTATTAGGCCGACTAAGACGCTTCGCCAACAAATGCCTGCATTTATTTGGGAGCTAGGTGCCCGGCGTCCATGCCTTTGCCTGCCAGCTCAAACGTGTCTTTCTGGTATGCCCGGCTTGACAGATCGGGGCTGGGTTAGAGGAGCTTCCCTTCCCCCCGGCTGGAGAGGGGAGGGAGTTGCACGGGCTCCCTCCTCCCACCCCTATCAGCAGGATCAGCGGAGCCCTTGACGTGGCCCGGAGCCGATTGGCCGGCAGCCGATAGGATCTCTGCGGCCAGCAAATTAAGGCGGAGGGGAGTAGGGGGGCGATCGCAGTGTCCACGCCGGCCCGGGCTCCCAGCCGCGGAGAGCGATCAGAGCCAGCCCAGCCCTGCCTCTGCCTCCTCGCCTCCGCCTCTCCCACCACCAGGGACATGAGGGCTCCCGTTTAACCTGCTCCTGCTCGGGGGCTCTAGCAACCGGTTAGGCAGAGCCACCCGCACCGCACAGTGTTGATCCGGGGCAGGCTAGACGGTCTGTCCTCTCCGCGTTAGAAACCCCCCTCCTTCCCTCCCTCCTCTTGGGCTGGAAGCTGAGGATCCGCTTAAGACGCTCGTGCCTGGGCTGTGCTAGGACTTGCGCCGGGATCATGGAGTACACAGCATCCCCCAAGCCTCAGCTCTCCTCCCGGGCCAACGCCTTCTCCATAGCGGCCCTCATGTCAAGTGGGAGCTCCAAGGAGAAGGAGAGCGCGGAGAGCACCATCAAACCCCTGGGTAAGTACCCGCCTCTGCTCCGCCTCGCCCCCAGCCCTACAGGTGCGGATCCCGGGGGGCGGGGGCAGGCTGAGCATCGTGCCCAAGCCCTGGAGGGCAGAACAGGGCTCTGATCAGCTACCACGGGAGGGGGGAAAGTGCTGGTAGAAGCCAGCCTTCCTGGGGTCCTGCGCCTTTCAACTAGACAAATAATAAATAAGAAGAAGACTTGCCATTTACCGGGTCAGACCAGTATCCCGTGTCCCACAGGAGCAGAGAGTGGATGCTGAAGAAATCTCGCCCAAGGAAACCCCGCTGCCTTTCAGACTTTACACGGGTTTCTGGTGGCAGAGGGAGGGAAAGGGACTGGGAAAGGTTTCCCCCACCCCTTAGATGAGCAAAGGGCAATGGCAGCTCCGAAGTGGCTGGCCTGGAAGGCGAGGGAGTAAGAGCTGCAAATCTGATACAGAGCAGGAGTTGGCTTAACTTTGGGAAGCCGAGAAGCGCTTTTAAAACCCGAGGAAGTGGGATTGTTTTATGCCCCCGATCCAGTTTCAGCCGACCCTAAAAGCGTGTCTACAATTAAGCCAACTTGTCCTGTTATCGAGATAGAAATGAGCTGCGCGGTTCGCTCGCTCGGGTTTAGATCTAATTCTTCCAGTTCACCCACAACGGGAATATATATCGCCATGTATACCTTCCTCAGATACAGAAGAAGACATACAAAAACTAGAACTCTTGGTTCCAAAATGATGCCTTTTATTAGACGAGCCAATTCATATATATAAGGAAAATATATCTTTGCGCCGGGGACCCACGCCTGGCAACCCGATAAAGCTCGGTGGTATGATAGCCGGGAATCACCTTTAAATATTTTGTAAAATTAGATGAGATGTGCTCTCGTTGTTTCTGTACCGATGTCATAAGTGTATTCAGACTAGGTTCTTTGGGTAAATGTCATCTCTTTTATTAGACCAACTTGGTTCTTCGGGCAAATGCGATCTCGTTTATTAGAGCAAGTAATTTGGTCTAATAAAGGAGCTCCCATTTGCCCAAAGCACCCTGCCTCCCTAGGTCCTTGGACCAGCACGGCTACAACCAACACCCCCGGATAGGTGTATTCACACAGTTGGGATCCAGTTTTCACAAACTGTAAAGCGAAATGACACGATGTAGATTTGTGTGCGGATATAACGCATACACAAAGATCATCAAATACAATCATTTAAATAATGCAGCGGCGCAAGGTGTTCGTAGCATCTTTTCCCCTGTTTTTTTTTAGCCAACTATTTCACAAACTATTTTTTACAAACTAGAATGATTTAGTTGGGGCTAGTCCTGCTCTGAGCAGCGGGTTGGACTAGATGACCTCCTGAGGTCCCTCCCAGCCCTAATTTTCTGTGAGTCTGTGATAGAAACAGATCATCCTGGCACCCAAATCAGAGAATAAAGCCCTTTCTTTTGTTGAGAACTCTCTTTATTTGCCTTCCAGAAGTTCAAGCCATTTTTTGTCGTCCTTTTCAGTCCGGGCTGTTATAACATTAGCAAGTAACCATTTTCCAAAGTCCTTCTCTTTTTTCTTCTTCTTGCAAATGCTAGTTCCGTTGTTTATGACCACCATGCATATAGGAAATGCCGCATTTGAGACAGATGGAGAAGGAGCCCTTCTTGGTAAAGGACCTGATTTCAAAAGTCAAACAAAACACCTCACTGACCATGCACAGTACTGTGTACAGGTTCAGGAGTACTTATAACAAAAATCCATGTAGGCAATTTTGAAAATGTATTTCTCTCCTGAGCTGTTTAATGCTTTGGAGAAACAAAATCACACGGATAATTTACTGTTAATACCCGGCGCTTAGGAGAATGGGGAATAGTAAGACCTGTGGTAGGCATATCTGCATCTTTTATTGTCCACTGGAACAATATCCATTAGCACAATGCACTTGGTTTCAGGATCCACTCCAGAAAAAGAAACCCTCGTCGTAGGATATCCAGCTTGTAGCCGTATTGCTCTAGAGGCAAAAGAAATCACAGCTCGTGGAAGAGGTGATATCTTTTATTAGACCAACTAAATACCATAATTTGTTCGCAAATAAAAGGAATCAACATTGGTGGAAGAGGTGCTATCTTGTATTAGACCAAGTCAATACAATACTTTGTTTGCAAATAAAAGGAATCAACACTCCTGGGAGAGGTGATATCTTTTATTAGAGCAACTAAATACAATGTTTTGTTTGCAAATATCTAGTTGGTCTAATAAAAGATATCACCTCTTCCACGAGTTTTGGTTCCTAATGGAAGGAATCATTCTCCTGAAATAGAGGCAAATCAGCACATCTATATATGAATAAGCAAGAGAAAAACAGAACTAAAAATGTTCCGAGCTGCAGTTCAAGGAGTTCATTTCCAGCTATTTAAACCCGCCTGGCGATGCCATTTCAAGGCGACCAAGTTAAACAGTTTCCCTCCCACATTGTTTGCGGCTGGTGTTTCTTGGATGGAGCCTGAAGCGCACAGAAATGCGGCAAAGGAAGGAGTGCCTCGAAAACTCTGGTTTTAGTTGAGCATTGCATTGAAACTGGGCTTCAGCACGGGCAGGTCGTTTGGATCCGACACCCCTATTCAGACCATGCCGGAGCTGCTAGGCATTTTATGTAGTCCTAGTTTCACGATATGCTGCAGACCGGATATGTTATAAAATACGTGCTTGGCAGAGTTGCGTGGGATTATTCGCTATTCCCCACCCCCCACCCCCCGTATCTTTTCAAAGCGCTCTTTCTTTTAGCCTTCCCATCGCTTCTCATTCTCCAAAATAATTCGATTAAAAAAAATAAAATACAAGGCGAATCTAGTAAGCCTATCTCTTAACTGAACAAAACTTTCTGAGGATATTTGGAGAAAAGATCGTTGCCTTGCAATCGCGTGCTTGCACCACTATAGTTTCTGTATCGATGGTCCTGCTTTGAGCAGGGGGGTGGACTAGATGTGACCTCCTGAGGTCCCTTCCAGCTCATTTTCTAGGAGCTTATGATTCCCCGGAGTGGGGGCGAGCCGGATGAGATGTTTTAAGTTCCGAGATAACATCAAATAAAATCAGGGCACTGCAGCTTTTTCGATATTCAGATTTAAATGGAGATATTTTTAGATATTTCGATATTCCAGGGGAGCGATTACTCCAATAATAGCCCGCCTCTGGCTTGGCTTGAGTAGAAAATTAAAATTAACTTAACCTTTCAAGTTGTCTAAATAGCGACATGGCGATTTCTCTGAGTTAAACGGATCCTAGAAACAACATCGACGGGGCTGCGGGGAGGGATCTGATGCTATTCTTTAATTTAGAGATATTTATCCCAATACCAGAGGCAGAAGACGGTCTTTTTTTTTTAACGTCTACTGTCCACCTCCAGATATTTTAGACTTAGGCAGCTTACAAAAAATTCACGTGTTTTGACCAACTTAAACGAAGAGCTCCTAAATATGGCTAGATGAGAGATGGGGGTGGTGGTTATAACCGTGTTGGTCGTATAGGCAGACATGAGTAAATGTGATACCTTTTATTAAACCAGCTGAAGAGTTGGAGAGCTTGCAGAGAACAATTTCCCCCAACTATTTAGTTGGTCCAATAACAGATATCACATCTACCCCCAAAACCTTGTCTGCCTGTGTGATAGATGCCAGCCGACCTCGTGGTAGAGGCGAGGTCTTTTATTAGACCGACCCGATGCTTGCAACAAAAAAAATCTTTATTTGCAAGCTTTCCGGCTGGATACATGATAGATGCATTTTCTCCCCCGCCATTTGAGTCAGTGCTAGAGCTAAGTCTTGCCACCAGCTCGGTCACTCCTGTTGGGACGAGCTGCTGGGCACAGGACGATTATACCATGGGGAAACAGAGGCAGCCTGGATCTCTGGCAACCCAGCCTCGCCAGTCCTGCCTCTATCTCTCTGAGCGGCATTGTATACCCGCGAGAAGCATTACACACTCAAGTAGTTTCTTTTTTTAAGGGCTGGGATCATCGAAACAATTAGACACCCGGCCCCCTGCGTTCAATCAAACTGACTCGTGCTGGGCATTGCAGCTTGAATGAGAATCAGTGGGCACTGGCAAAGTGACCTTCCCATCGCAGTCCCCTATCCAGCAGGAGGTACGGGGCAATCAGCTCTCCCGGTGCGGTTGAAGTGGCCGGGAATCACTAGAGGGTAGAAGGACAGTGCAGCTCTGCAGCCGGGGAACTTGATTTCTTTCCCCACCCCCGCAACCCACCCCTGTGAAATATGGGCACTGCATGCCTGCTTTCTGGACTGGCCAAAAGGGAAAGCACTGTGTCTGGGGCTCCACAGCCTCGAGATGCAGATGGTGAGTAAGCAAGGCTCTTTGGGTAGATGTGATTTTTTTTTTAGACCAACTGAGTAGCTGGGGCGAGGGGAAGTTATTTGCAAGCTTCCAGCGCAAAATCACTTTTCTTCAGGCATAGGGAGTCTCTGCTGCTCTGAGACTCCAAGGAATGAAAGAAGCTAAAAGTGTGACAGGAAGTCAGTGAGCAGGTAAATAGGTGGAAATTAGGAAAACAAAAGACAGAGAAGGGAAGGGAGGGGAAAAAGCCAAAGGTAAGTAAGGGAGACTCTACTGTAGTAGTTTTCCAAGGTAGAAAAGAGGCTGCCTGTGAAAAAGTGAATAGCTGGAAATTAGGTATCCAGGTTGTAGCTTTATTGGTCTAGAGGCAAAAGGAATCAGGACTTGTGGTAGAGGTGATATCTTTTATTAGACCAACTACATTTTTGCAAAAAAAAAAAGAAGAAAAAAAGAAAAGATTTTTAAATAAAAAAGATATTTTTTATAAAAGATGCGATATCACTTAACCAATCTAGTTGGTCTAATACAAGATATCACTAGACCAATCTAGCTGGTCTAATAAAAGATGTGATATTACTAAACCAATCTAGTTGGTCTAATACAAGATATCACTAGACCAATCTAGCTGGTCTAATAAAAGATGTGATATCTTTTATTAGGTCAA